CATTGCTTCGCAGATTACTGCGGAGCTATTATTTTATATTATTGAGAATTCTTAATTATAATAAATAAAAAGTTAAGGAATAAAAAATGAAAATTTTTATTAATATGAATATTTTACTTTCTATTTTATCTGTTCTTTTACCTTTATTAATATCTATAATGTTATATACTTTAGCAGAAAGAAAAGTACAAGCTACTATTCAACATAGAGTAGGTCCTAATATTGTAGGTCCTTATGGTTTATTACAACCTTTAACTGATGGAATAAAATTATTATTTAAAGATATAATAATTCCACAAAGATCTCGTATGATTTTATTTTGTATATCTCCTATATTATCTTTTTCTTTATCTGTAGTATTATAGTGTTTTTATATATTAGTTGATTCTCCTTTAGGAATTTTAATATTATTAGCTATTGGTGGATTAGAATTATATGGTATTTTATTAGGTGGTTATGCATCACAAAATAGTTAGACTTTAATTGGTTCTATACGTAATACTTCACAATTAGTATCCTATGAATTAATATTAGGTATGATATATTTTCTATTAGCATTAAGTATTGGTTCTTTTAGATTTTATTATTTTACAATAATTCCTATATTAAACATATTAACATTTATTCCTTTATATAGTGTAGTTTTATTAGTTATATTAGCAGAAACTAATAGAGCACCTTTTGATTTGGTTGAATCAGAAAGTGAACTTGTATCTGGTCCATTTACTGAACACTCAGCTTTAATCTTCGCTTTATATTTCTTAGCTGAATATAGTAATATGATGTTTTTATCTTATTTATTTTCTTATTTATTTGTATCAAGTTAGATATTATTCCCTATACATTTATTTTATTTTATATAGATAAGAGCTACATTACCACGTTTACGTTATGATCATTTAATAAGATTATGTTAGTATCATATATTACCTATAATAATGGCATTTTTAATTTTTTATATTTCAATATTAACAGCTTTTTATATATAAATTAATAAATAAACCTTATATATTTACAGCCGAAGACTAGCCTTCGGCTAGTCGTCAAGTTGCTTCGCAACTTGGCTTGCTTTGCAACTCGACTACAGGCCGTTGGCTTGTATAAACAGCTTTGCTGTTAATTAAACAAATTATTTAATAAAGTAAAATATTAATAATTAGTATTATAAAGAAGAATATTTATATTCATAAATTAACCCTATAGTTAAAATTATTAAGAATAACATAGAATAAGAATATATATATAAATTTATATTAAATATAATAGGATATAAATATACTATTTCTAAATCAAATAATAAGAATAATAAAGCTATTACATAAAAACGTATATCATATCTATAATTAATACTTCCATAAGGGTCAAACCCACATTCATATGAATGAAAATCTTGTGTATTCATAATTTAAATAATAATTATAACCTATAAAATAAGAATTTGTGAGAGAGAGGGATCGAACCTCCAACCTTCTGATTAACAGTCAGATGCTCTACCATTGAGCTACTCTCACAACTATATAATATATGTTAATATTGTGTAAAATAGTTAATAGTATATTATTATATAAATTGTTTGTTTATAATATGAAAAATTTTTATTTAAATATTATAATATCAGGTGAGAAAGGATTCGAACCCTTAATCTTATCTTTAGAGGATAATGTGTTACCATTACACCACTCACCTAATTATAAAAATTTGTTAATGAATAAATGAACATTTTAGATGTTTACTTTTTCAATATTAAATTTTTAATTGTCCAAGGATGGACTCGAACCATCAACCCTAAGTGGATCTGATTTACAGTCAGACGCGATACCTTTACGCGACTTGGACATTGTATGAACAGCCATAAGCTGTTCAATTTAACCTTTTAGGTTTATTAATTATAATCTCAACTCCAGGTTCCCCTAGAATTACCGTGTTAAGACTTCAGGTTGCTTCCAACCTGTGACTGGCAGTTAGTAGAAGCTGTTTATTTTATTCTGGAAATCTTTCTTTTATTTCCCTACTTATCATTCTTTTTTCAAGATAATATTTCAATTATCTATTGAATTTATCAGATATAATTATAGGATGGCTCTAGCCCAGAATTTTGACCATATTACTTGACCCATTGAACCTATTTTGATTCCATTGAACGACAAAGTCGTTCAGACAGTCATGCAGTTCAATCATAACTGGTAAGATTATTGGAGTACTTTCCAATTAAAGGCCATCTTCCACGATATATCTACAACCCCCTCTAGTTCTTAGATTTTCAGTATTGCTACCATAACTCTTCAGGTAAAGTGTTCTTTTATTTACACACTTTTAATTTACAGCTAGAACTACACAGGTATCTAATCTTTTTCGATACTCTAGCTTTAGTCTTGATAATTTCTTGATATACTCAGATATAATTTACCATTCCTTTTTCTTTTTAATCTACTTAGAGATACAGAAAAAATTCTACAATCTTTGTATACAAATAAGTTTATATTTAATTGTTTATAAACAATTCGTCAAACCGTATAAACGGTGACTTAAAATATTCATCTTAAGACTTTTATTACCTATTATTAATTGGAAACTCACCCTACTTAGACTCACCGCGACTGCTGGCACTAATGTTAGTCAGGATTAAACATATAAATATCTTTTATTTATATTGCATATTCTGCATACAAACCAAAGGTTTGTATATAATATTTATTCCCCTGGATCCTTGTTAAAGATTGTCCAATGTTCCACACTGCTGTTCATATCGAGAACATCATATTTATAAACATGTATAAATATTATTGTCCTGTGATCTTATATTGATACGAAGTCATCGACTATCTTATTATAAGATATTCTGATTCCGTATTATATTTTTATACTAATCTAATCATATAATGAATAGACGAATACTTAATGTATTCTATAAAATATAATAATTTACTCACCTCCCGCATGTGAAAAGAGAATAATCACTCCCAATACTCTCAGAACCAAAGAGATATATTTTATTTACTAAAATATTAATTTACGCAACTTTTTATTATAATATTTATTTTATTTTTATTTTTAAATTCTCAATGTATATTAATATTAATTATAGAAGTCTAAGATATTATATTTTAAAAGTAATTTAACTATAAAATTTTAGAGTTTATTTAAATGTGAACGGCTTAGTCCGCCGTTCACGTAAATCTTATGATTTAATTTATTAGGAATATAAAATTAAGAAAGAAAGCATTATACTGAAAAGTCCAATAGCTTCACAAAGAGCAAATCCTAAAATAGTAGATGTAAATAATGTAGCACGTAAAGCAGGGTTACGAGATGTACCTTGAATAAAAGATGCAAATACTAAACCAATACCTACTCCAGCACCTGTTAATCCTGATGATGCTAATCCAGCACCAATTAATTTAGCTGATTCTTTCATTTAGAAAAATTTTTTAATTTATATATATTTCATATAATATTTATTATTAAATATATTTATATTTATAGAGTATCTTTATTAACTTTTTATTTATTATAATTAAGAATTCTCAATAATATAAAATAATAGCTCCGCAGTAATCTGCGAAGCAATG